TGTCAGAGAGTGTCATCAGCGAAAAGACCATCAATTTTGTAAGAACAGGAGAAAACTCATTGAGCACACATCAATTTTGTCAGAACCGTATGGCCGTGTAGGAGGTCATCACTAAAGCGGCGTCATATCAACGCAATCATGTCATCGTAGATGACGTGCACGTGATCAATGCTGTTGTCGTGATGCTGTCTCAGTTACACATCTTACAGTTATATAATTAGAGGACGCAGCTGGAGATTTCCAGCTTATGAACGATCTGCATTGATATGTCATCACCACAAGGGGTCATCTTCAAACAGCGCATCATCTATGATACCGTGCCGTATATGATGAAAAATTACCTTAGGTTGTACACCGGCCTATGGCGTGGATGATGCCGTGGAGATCGCTTCTCGTTGATGGCCTTGACAACGATTTTCTTTTTGTTGGATGCGAATTAGTCGTAGAGATTCAGCACGGTGTGAGTTGGCTCGATGCAGGAGGCGTCGATGAAGATGCATCGTGCACGGCTGGTTCGGTTAGGGTGTGTTTGGTTGCTGTCGGCCAGGATGCACGTCATGTCCTGCTGTTGCGTGGCGTACTCGAGCGAACCTAAGCGTGATGGAGTCGTGTACGGTGTACGTGGACGGCTGATTGGAGCTGCAGCGTGGAGTCCCTTGGCGAGGCTGCAACTTCCTTCTATGATGAATATGATGAAGCCTGTACATGGACCGGCGGCAGCGCACGCCTGGCTTCTCATTGGGCCACATGCGATTGCGTACGTGAGGTTAAGGTGGTTGCAGTCCTGTAGAAGATCCCGATGTCCGGAGGCCAGCCTGTGTGGCCGTAGAAGATCCGTTGCTTGCAGTTGGTTTCATGGATTCTGGTGGGCGTAGGTGCATGACTCGAGGTGTGGATAGTGACTCGCTTCAGGTTTGAACAACATAAGAGTATTTGTCGGGCGCCTTAAACTGTTTGAAACGTCTGGCACGTCCGGCGTTTCTCATATTCAGTCTAAAGGCGGTGCGGATATGGGATGACTTGGGTGCATTCGCCACGTTGGATTGATCCAGCTTGTCCCACACATACCCGATGAACTACATGTGCTTCATCCAATGATTATCTTTTACATAGTGTTGCATTGGTTGTATGGTTTTGAGATTTCAGATATGAGTGACGTAGGTGTAGAAACCAACAAATGAGACGTGCCCGGTCAGTGATCGCGGACGCGCCCGGCGTGTCCTTGGGCATTTGAGGACCTGGATTTGCTATCTCTGGTTATAGATGCTCTAGTGCAATACTCTATTTGTTTACAAATATAAGATGTTTTACAATTTTAATATAAACTATATACATTTTAAAATAAATGAATAAATACACTAAAATGTATTTATATACATTTGATTTATTAACAGTTAGTACATATATTTATGAACGAAGGGAGTAGGTGTGAATGGGGTGTCGTATTGTGTCGGCCAGCTGTATGAACTTGGTCGTGCCCGCTCGACTCGGACTAGCACCGGCACAGGATGGCGCTGTTGAGCCGTGTTCCGAATGCAAGCCGCTCACACATAGTCTTCCGCCACCACTGATGGGTAGAGGCGGTCGCAATTTTCTCTATGCAGGCCTTGTTCGATTAATCCTAATCAACTCAAGAGGATTAGAGGGTATTGAGAGGAATTTTAACTTGCAGGAAATGTAACCTCCTTAATCCACATTAAGCTCATTCAATCAACTCCTAGCTGAATATTAATTAATCATGCACAACACTGTAACATGCTGGTCGTAGTGGGGTATTGTATGATACAAGTTCATGATACTATCTTCATACTACATAGTATCATAGAATGATATTGTAGGTAAACTTATTTATTGTTATGCATGACAAATAGTGGCACATTGTTTAATATGATATGGTGTCATATTATGATACTCAATCCTTCTTTCTTCATTCAATTTTATGTCACCTCATCTGAACTACTTAGTTGGCGGGCATTATACTTTATATGATACTCTCACTGTGACCGGCCTTACAATATTTTCTTAGGTACAACGCGTAGCGGGACAGCCATGGACAACACCAGTCCAAACTGCTCTGTCATATCTACAGGAGCAGCATCTTCTTCTCCCGGCAATGTCCAATCAAAGTGATAGAGCATTGAGCCGAGTATAAGTGGCACCATCTTACTCGAGAGCTGCAGCCCAGGACAGATCCGCTTCCCGGCGCTGAATGCGATCAGCTCAAAATCTGCACCGAAGAACTCTATCTCCCTATGCAGGAACCTTTCCGGCAAGAACCTGTTGGGCTCATCCCATACCTTGGCATTTCTGCATATCCCCCAGATGTTCACCAGGGCAGTCGTGCCCTTAGGGACGTTGTAGCCTTCTATCTCCACCGCCTCCTCGGCTAGCCCAGTGGCGAATGGCACCGGGGGATGGAGCCGTAGTGTTTCTTTGACGACGGCTTGGAGATATGGGAGGCTGCCGGTGTCGGACTCCTCCATCCATGCGCATGGTCGGGTGCCGAGGACGTTCCTGAGCTCCGCTTGGAGTTTGTGTATAGCGGGAGGGTTTTGCAATAGCTCCGACATCGCCCACTCGATTGTGGTGGGGACTGATGTTGCGCCTAGGAGTAATTCCTGAAAATGCATGCATACATGAGATCAATACATTTGTGGCAACTATTCAACATGCGATTGAATTTTTTCATGTCAACTGTTTTTAAAACAAAACATATAATATAATGTAAAAAACTAAAACTAAATAGAAAACATGAGGGGTTCTTTGGGTGGGAGTGGGGGTAGAAAACATGAGTTATAATGAATAATGAATTATAGACTCCCTAAAAGAAATGAATTACAGACACCGGTATACTTAAAGAATAAGGAAAAAAACTCAAAACAAATGACAACACTTGCACACAAATTGTATTGTTTCACAGTATGCAAGCACACATAGTTGTGTATATTCGGACAGCAGTGTGATTTCCATAATGATTCCTTTTATCTCATGTATGGTATCATCTCCTGCGCACATACACTAGCCACACGTACAGGAACAAACATACGCCTCGCCGGAAAAAAAAAGAACGTGCATACGCACACGTGCGTGCACACACATATACTACTACTACATACGACACGCACGACGCCGTGCACACAAATCCACACACAATACACAGATCAGGCACACATATTGACCTATATACTACATAAAAACGAAAAGGAAAATAAAGCAAGAAAAAGCAACCACGCACAAAAAGGGGAAAAAGAGTGACTGGGCTGACAAAACATTTCATAATAGCAAAATCGATAAAATAATATTTCTGTAGCTCCTTTTTCCGTTGCATAATGCATGTATTTGACTCCTTTTAGGATAAAACTTTGGCCAATTATAACATGTTTTTTTAGAGAGAAACTATAACATATGCTAAGGTCGTGTGTGCATGCTTACCATCAATAGACCTCGGATGGACTCCTGGTTCATCACCCATCCGTCCTCGTCTCGCACGTCGCCGTCCATGTCAAGCAACACATCCAACAGATCGTTCCTGCGCGCATCGCCGTCCGCCCGGCTGAGCTTCCGCCGCTCGATCTGCTCGTCGATGAGCGTATACAGCCACGCGAGCACCTTCCCCGCCTTGCGCCGGATACCCTGCAGGTCGAGGGCCGCGAGCGCCGGGAAGAAATCAGACACGTTGGGCAGGCCGGACAGCACGGCCGCCTCTTCCGCCACGTCCGTCAGCTCCGACACCACGGCCGGATCTAGCTTCTCCGAGAACATCCCGCGGCACAGCACGTTCACCATGGCCACGAACGCCTCGCGAGCCACATCGACCGGGGCGCCTCCGGCCGCGGACAAGCGCCGCACCAGCTCGCGCGCCTCCTCCTCCCGCACCGCCCGGTGCTCGTCGAGCGGCCGGGGGCCGAGGAGCGCGGCCCTGGAGTGCTGCCTGAAGGCGCGCCACTTGCCGCGCGGCGGGAGCGCGACCATGGAGTTGGCGTCGTGGTCCATGACGCGCCAGGCGTCCAGGCCACGGCGAGCGGCCATGCTGGCGTTCTTTTTCTGCAGGACCTCGCGGGCGGCCTCCGGCGAGGTGGCCACGACGGCTGGGACAGTGCCGAGGCGGACGAACATGAGCGGGCCGTGGATGTCGGCGAGGCTGGCGAAGGAACGGTGAGGGTGCTCGCCGATGTCGAGGAGGTTACCGAGGAGCGGGAGTGGCCTGGGGCCGGGCGGGAGGCGTCGGCGCGCGTCGGCCAGTGGTTGTAGCGCGTAGGCCGCGAGCAGAGTGAGTGGGAGCGATGCCGCGCACACGAGGGACAAGTCAGCCATCTCTTGCTTCCGGGCGGACCAGTTTTCCGGCTTTGCTGCGACAGAGAGCGCAACCTCACCGGTCCATTTATAGTGTCCCAGAGACCCAGACACGATTTCGCTAAACCGAGCGTCCGCGCCTCGACCGCTCGTTGCCAGCATATCGCACGGCCCACGAGCGCCAAGTGTTTCCTCGTCGGGGCAAGACGCAGTTCTCTCACGCGTATCCGACAAAACCCAGAGCCACGCCCCGCGCCTTATCCCCAGCGCGATGCCCTGCCTCCAACAGCGCCCCTTTAGCCGCCGCCGCCGTCGGACCCTCGCCGCTCAGCGCGCCTTCAGCTGCCGCCCCACCCTCTAGCGCGTCTGCCGCTGCACCTACACAGCCGGATGCAACCCCGTGCTCTTCCCCACCGGCGACCCCACCCATCCGAGGTCCTCCTCCCCCTCACGTCGCCCGCGACCCTGTTCTCCTACTGACCGCCGCTATCCGCCTCTGGTGCGCCACCGCGTGTGAACCCGGACGGATCCGAGGAGCTTCACGTTGGACCCGCCCGTCCCACGTCTTCCTGTGGAACTCCGCCATCTAGACGCCTTGCCGACGCCGATGAGTCCTGCGCCGCCACCCCTCATGCCACAGCCGCGAGGCTCGGATCTCGCTCCGTCTCGACACCATCCATTTCATCTTCGGCGAGGACAGACCGCTCATGGAGCTCCACGTCTTTCGGGAGGTCTTCTCCAGGGCGCCCGCTCATGTGGAGGCTTCTGGGTTCACGGGGAAGCACGGCAGGACCTTCAGGGTGGCCGTGACGTTGCTGCTTCCCGGTGCTCACTTCGTGCAGATGTGCCCCGAGGCGAGCCTCAAGGTCCTGCCGCCTCCGCTGTTTCGCGGCGACCACATGGTCAGGTGCATGCCGGAGGAGGCCTTGTCATGGAAGCGCCTGGTGTGTGTGCATTATCAAATCAGACAGAGCAGGAATAACGGTGATCCTTTCGATTTGGATATCAAGGTGAGTATTTAGTGCCCAGGAACATGGTGCTCGCCAGAATGCTAATAAAATATTTCAGTGTGCTTTGCGGCTCTCAATGTCCTACTGCCGACGCTTTAGGTTAGTTGATTATAATTTCTGCACGGCTGCACAACAAAGCATTCAGTCTTGGTTGAATATCACGATCTTACTTTTTGCAGTGCTTTTTTCTTGAGAAAATTATCAAATAGTTGTAGTTGCACATATGAAGGGCATCGTCATCCCCCTAGGGCGACTCGGGCGGCCAGAAACCTGGGCGCCACCGCCGCAAACTCCCTCCTCTTCTCCCTCCGCCGCCGCCGGAAGACGCCGCTGGGCTAAGCCCGGGGGCCGACGGCGGTGGCGCGACCGATCTGGGATCTGCAGCGCGGCGGATGGCGGTAGGCGGTAGGAGGCCGGCCCGTCCTCGGATGGCGACGGCTTGGCGCGGCGAAGGCCAGGGTTGCGGGCGCTGCGGATGGCCCTTCGGGCGGCGGCTGGCTTGGCTGCGGTGGCGTGCATGCTATCTTCAGATCGGTGACAGCGGCGTGGAGGGCCTGGTGGTCTCGTCGGCGGCACCTCCGATCAGATCTGTTTTGACCGGTGCAGCCGACGGTGGTGGTCATCTCTTCCGTCGGAGGTGGTCGGCCTGAGGCTGGGTGTTCGGATCTCGGGATCCGTCATCTGGCACCAGCTGCGAGTCGGGGAGATGTAGTTGCCGGTGAAAACCGAGCCGACGGCGGGCGATGGCGGCGTTCCACGTCGTTACCTTGATGAAGGCATCGTCATGTGACTTCCGTCGACCCACTCGTATTGCTCTAGGGGAAACCCTAGGATCTGGTGTTCCAGACCGGATGATGGCGACATTGCGGTGTCGTTTCTCTCTTGGGAGCGTCGTTTTGTGGAGCAGCGCTGGAAGTCGGAGGCAGGAGGTGGAGCGGCTTCGTCTTGCACGAAGCTTCGGCGGAGATGTCAAGTCATGCCTGACCGACAGGTGCTACGCTTGGTCATGCCTGGTCGGCAGGTGATACGCACGACAGATCCTCCAAGGGCTTAAAGCTGTGTCGGCTGGTGGTACGTGGCAGCATGGCGCTGAGGTGTATCAGTGGTATACCTGGCCATGGGAAGCCCGGCCCGGCCTGACCCGACGCTGCTCCCGGGCCGGGCTTAGGCCTAGATTTTGAGCCCGATGGCTGGGCCGGGCCCGGGCCCGTTGTTTTTGCATTTTTCTGAAGGTCGAGCTAGGCCGGGCCGGAGACCGGCGGGCTTTTACGTGTTAGGGACGGGCTCGGGCTCAAAAAACAGGCCCGATGGCCGGGCCCGGGCCTGGGTTTTTTGCGTCGGGCTTGGCTAGGCCCGGCCCGAAGCCTGGCCTGGCCCGAGGTATGGCCAGGTATAATCAGTGGCGACCGCGACATGTACAGCTGTTTGCGCGCAGGGAGGAGGTGTCATTGGACGCCGTGGTGGCATCGACAATAGGTAGACCGAGCAAGGTTGATGCATCAGTACAATTCTGAAGATGGAGCGGCGGCAGTTGTCAGCGGTGGCCTCTGAGAGCACGCCGGACCAGTGTGTGCCCCAGACCCGACAAGTGGCTAGATTGGGGTATCAGGTCTTAGATGTTAGGCTTGGCTGCGATGTCTATTTGGTATGAGGCCCAGGCTATCTGCGCCCTTTCATCAACTGGATAGGTATAGGGACAGTTTGTTGCTTAGACGTCAGCTTTAGTCTTACTGTTGTATAACTTTGTGAGGTCTTGTGAGAATAATTAATAAAGTGGTCGTATGCATCGCCCAGATGTAGAGGCCCGGGGTCATCCTTCTTTTTTTTAAAAATAGTTTTTAGTTGCACATAAGATTTAGGAAGTTGCACATAAGATTTGTGAAGTTGCACAACACGGTGGTACTAAGTTGGCTAGACAATATTCTCGCTTAAGTTGATATACTTTTACATATTTTTAGTTGGCATCCACACTAGTTATAGTTGCACACATAGTAGTTCTCAATTGGATATGTTCTCAATTGGATATGACCATTAGAAAGTTGCACAACACGACAATACAAAAATGGTTAGACGATGTCTCGCGCTTGCATTGCTTACTTAAGTATAGCTAGACGGGCGACATTGTAAGCTCAATCAACTACTGCTGCACACTGGAAGACTGTTGCACATGCATGAGCACAGAGTTGCACAGTCTTGTTGATATAGTCGTACACGCACGGCCGCGAAGATGTACACTCTAGTTGGCATAATAGCTCATGCATGACTGCGGGAGTTGCACATGCTCCTTGGCATAGTTGGAGTTGCACACTTTATTTGGCATAGCCGTTCATGCATGATCGTGGAGTTGCACATTTTTTTGCATAGTCGCACACACATGACCACAGAGTTGCACACTCTCATTAGCATAGTTATACACGTGCGATCGTGGAGTGACACACTCTCGTCGGCATAGTAGCTCATGCACGACAACAGGAGTTGCACACATGTGCCAGCATAGTTGCACACGCACGACCATTGAGTTACACACTCTCGTCGGCGTAGTAGCTCACGTATGACCGCGGAGTTGTACACTCTCGTCGGCGTAGTTGCACATGTGTGACAGCGAAGTTGCACAATCTCACTTGCATAGTTGCACACGCATGGCTGTAAAATTGCACACTTTCGTCATCATAGGTACCCACTCTCCTTCGCCGTGGGAGTTGCATTCTTGTTGGTATAGTAATTCATGCAAGATTGCAGGAATTGCACACGCGCGGCGGCATAGTCGCGCCCACAAGACCACAAAGTTGCACACTCTCGTTGGTGTAGTAGCACACGCACGGCCTCGGAGTGGCACACTCTCGTCGCATAGTCGCACATGTGTGGCCGTGGAGTTGCACACCCCCGACCGTACTACTGGGGCAGTTGCTTGGGAGTACTTGAATATTAACTTGGGGTGCCTTGAGCATCCCCAAGCTTAGCTCTTGCCACTCCTTATTCTTTCATTCATCCTGATCTCACCCAAAACTTGAAAACTTCAATCACACAAAAGTTAAACAAACCTTCATGAGATCAGTTAGTATAAGAAATTTTAAGTACTGTTGCAATCCATTCATATTTTGTTATTGCATTATATCTACTGTATTCTAACTTTACCATGACTTATACCCCCGATATAATCCATAGATTTATCAAAATAAGCACACAATGCAACAAAAACAGAATCTTTCAAAAATAGAATAGTCTGTAGAGATCTGAATATTGCTCATACTTATGTAACTAGTTGAGAGGGCCAAATGAATTTTATATTAGTTCACCCGAAAAAAATAAATATTATATAACAAAGAATTAAAGCGACTAAGCTAAGAGCAACTCCAACCGGCCAACCAAAAAGCACACCTTTTTCCTTTTTTCGCACTTTGTCCGTTTGGGTCACCCGTCCGTGCGTCGTGTCCATTTTTTCGTTTGGGTCGGCTTGTGCGCCCAACAGGACGCAGACGCATTTTGTGCATGTCTGTGTCGGCATTCAATC